GGCATGTAAGTTGTGTCTGTTTCCTTGGAGGCAGAAATGCTCATGCTCTCCCAGTTTACTTGGATGCAATTTTACTTAAGATCCTCTCAAGACCTTCTGAGCCTGTTTGAGCCTTGAAGGGCATGCACAGTCGAGCCATGAGTATTTCTTTACTGGGAGAGCTGCCACATTTCAGTGGGAAGGTTACCTTCCTGTGTGGAAGGGAGAGAATAGTGTTGTGAAGGAATCCCTGGCTTTAATTGCATCCTCTGTCATTCTGCCTGGAAGGATGTTTAATGGGGGTTGCTCTGTCCTGCGTTTGTTTGCAGGTGTGACTGGTGCAGGTGATCCAGGATCCGCTTTGAGCTCTGGGACCGAAACTCTGGCAGAAGGCATGGGTAAGTCATGGCTTTGTAATTCCTGCAAGAGCTTTCAGTGCCATTTCATGGCACGATTCCCTCTAATGCTCTCCTCTTCAGTGATGCTGTGGGGTATGAGTGAAACTTTTCATGGGTCTTTGGTTGCAGAAGTGCCCCCGTGGCTGTCTTTGCCCAGTCGTTCATTTCCTCCTGTGCTGGAGCCCAGCTGGAATCCCAGCAGTGAGTAGTTTGTCTTTACTGACTCCGCTGACTCACCACTGGTCTCCAAAACTTCATGCACGTTGATATTTGACTTCATACATTCTGTACAGGTCAGGAAAGAGGAAAGGATGAACCTAAAGGAGGAAGAAACTCCCAGGCTCTTCCCATCTCCTAAAGGAACTGCTGAAGAAATGGAGAAGGCAGCGTGTGGTAGGCATACTTCAGTCTGTTCACCGTGAGACATGGGAAGCTGAGGTCTGATGTTCATGTGTGGACAAGCCGTAGCCTGCACAGCAGGAAGGGGTCACTCAGAGCCGTGCTGCGGTGGTTCCATGTAACGCCTGGCAGGCACCCAAGTATTTGACAGACTGTACATCCTTATCACCGACTACTGGGAGACGCTGCTGGGGTACAACAGATGTGAGATGAGGCTGACAGAGCCGTGCCTCAGTCCAACACTCACAACAGCACAGACTGGGTGCCGTGGAATGGCACCAGAGGGACGAGCCCAGCTCCCGTGCCATCTACACCAGGGCAGGAGGGAAGATCCAGCACTGCCAAATATGGCAAGAGGGTCACGTTTCATAAGGCACTTGACCAAGTGCACATTGTTCAAGTTCATCACCTGCAATAAAAGGTCTTTTTTTGTTCTGCATCAACAACAGAGTCCATGTCTAATTGCCACAGTTAAGCCTTCCTCATATTTGTCTTCCTCAACCTGTATGAGGACCTTTGGACAGGATTTCAAAAGGGCATAGAGGGGCTTTAGCAGTATTCCATGGCTGTAGGCAGCACCACCTCGTCATCGTTAGGAAAATCTGGAGCTCCTCAGCTGTTTGAGGTTCCAGTCTGGCTGTTTCCTTTCTTGCTGTTTCTAAGGGTTGGGGATCCTGCAGCGATTCCATACTGCAAATGGGTTACTTGTGGCTGTGCCACTTGGGCTTTCTGTGGAGAAAGTCAATAGCCATTGAGCCTGAGGAAGTTTAGTAAGCTAATTGTCCATGTTACACATTACCTCCTTTGTTTTGGTAGCTATCAGGTCATCCATGTCTTTGGATTTGAGAGAGTACTGCTTGATCCGAACCAGCTGAGCTCCCTGCTTTATTCTGAATCCTTTTGGTGCTGCATTCTTGGTCCAACCTGGGGATTCTACTACCCTCAGCCCAGGATAAACTTCATCCCTTACTTCTTCTGT